GCTCCCCCTTCATCACTAGCCAGGGACTCGCTGGATGTCCAGGCCCCTGGGCTACGCGCGCCGGTGATGCTGACCCGGGGCCCGCGGGGACGGCGTGCCAGCTGGGCGCTGGTGGGGCGACGGGCGACAGGGCCACGCTCCAGCTCCTCCACGTATTTGAGGAAATCCAGGTCCAAGTGGAAGCCATAGGGCGTCTCTACCGTGTAGGACGAACTCGGGCTGCGGGAGCCCCCAATCGGGCCGTGGCACAGGTGAGAGCCGCCCAGGTCTGCAGGCATGACAGGGGCGTGAGGGGTGTCACGCCAGGGGTACCCCTCCCCACCACAACACACCAGCAGGGCTCCACCTGCACCAAGTTCTGCACCAAGCCATTACACACCCAAAGCTCAATGCCTATATGCACCCAAATAGTCATGCAAACACACGTTTATTGAGCTCCTACTACATGTCAAGCACTTTTCTGAGGACAAAGCATCGAACTAGACAAACATCTCTGCCCTCTTGTAGGAGACAGATAGACACAAACATTACAAATGGTGCTTAAGGCAGTAATAAGATGAAGTAGAGAGTAACTGGAGGAGGCATTACTTTGGCTCTGGTTGTCAGGGCCAAGTGATGAGGAGGAATCAGCTGGGGACAGAAGGTTCCTAAAAGAAAACAGCCCATGCAAAGGTCCTGGAAGGGGAGGGGGGTGAGCACGGTGGGCTGGAATAAAGGGTGAGTTGAGGGTGTCCAGAGCAGAGTAATGGAAGAGATGGGGAGAAGAGTAGGAGAGGTGAACTAAAGCCAGACAGAGGGGGTCTCCCGGGCCATCATGAGATGTTAGATTACATTCCACATGTGACAGGGCAGCACAGAGGCCCCTCTGGCCACTATGCAAAGAAGGGAACTGCAGGGTTGTGTCCACACACCAGCACCAAGTGTGGACCTGTGCACACTTACCATTTCGTACACTTACCAGACACGTTCTGATTCAGGGCAAACTTGGCCATGTTTCCTGGAGTAGCCACCAAACACACCCTGAAAAAGTCCCCCAAAGGGGGTAAGGGTGGAGTCAGGCCCTATCCTTCTGGCTATGACTCTAGGGTCAGCCTGGATTCTGAGTGAGTAAACAGACCCGAGAGTTCCTCTCCAGCAACCCACCCACACACACCAGTGCCCTTTCCTCCATCCTCCCTCAAGAGGCCTTCAAACTTTGGAATGAATGAATGTGGGAACACCCAGGTGCCAGGCTTCAGCCTGCTGGGCAGGAGGAGAAAGGAAGAGCATCAAAAGGAGAGAGGAAAGTAATTCAGAAAACAAGAGAAGCCCAGCTAGTGTGGCTCAGTGGTTGAGCATTGACCTGTGAACCAGGAGGTCATGGTTCAATTCCAGTCAGGACATATACCCAGGTTATGGGCTCAATCCCCATTAGGGGGCATGCAGGAGGCAGCTGATCAGTGATTGTCATCATTAATGTTTCTCTCTCTCCCTTCCTCTCTAAAACAAATAAAAAATATATTTTATAAAGAAAAGATGTCCAGTTGGCATGGCTCAGTGGTTGAACCAGGAAGTCACAGTTTGAGTCCTGTTCAGGGCATACGCCTGGGTTGCAGGCTCATTCCCAAAAGTGGGGAGTGCAGGAAGCAGCCGATCAATGATTCTCTCTCATCACTGATGTTTCTATCCCTCTCTCCCTCTCCCTCCCTCTCTCTGAAGTCAACAAAAAGAAAAAAAGGAAAAGAAAACAAGAGTAGCTGGAGGTGGGAGTGGATATGGGTGTCATTCCCGATCTGAGTTTTCCGTCAATAGCTGGGGAAAATCAGAAATTAATCATCACAGGGGTGGAATGTGAACCTTCAGAAGAGGAAGGCAAGAACTGGAAGTCCTCATGGGCTCATTAATAACTCATCTGGTCAAATTCTGCAGATTAAAAAACAAAAATACAGAATCACTTAAATGTTTCCCTTAGAGTCTAAATGCAAACAAGATACAACTGTGCATATGAATTTTTACCAAGGTCACCTGTGAGACCTCTTTAGGAAAGACAGAGTTGGGGGCCAGCTGCACAAAGGATGCAAATCAATGGATACCTGTACCCCTGGAATACCTCTAGTGGAGTGCCACAGGGCTTATAAGAGGTTGTAATGGAACCACAAGCACCCAGGTTGTCAGAGCTGAAACTATACCTGGGGATGGAGAGAGAGTAAGTCAGGGTGTCATGATGGAGGCTCTAAGAACCTGAGGGAGATTGAGACCCATCTAATAATGTGATATTTCACAAGGACAAATATTGAGTCCAGAACTTGGATTCAGAAAGCACAGGGTGAGAAAGATGGGGCTTTAAAGAGCTCACATGAAAAGCCTCAGGGAAGGGCAAGCAAGCTGCCAGTATCAAGTGCCTACTGTATTCCCTGCTTGATCAGATGTAATCCTGTGCAATCCTGTGAGGTAGATAGCCACATTTTACAGAAGGGGAAACTGAGGTACAAAGCAATTAAGTCAATTGTGGGAAACACCCTCTGCTCATCTTCTGGAGACCCTTGCCTATCAGACCCATGTGACCGCTCCCTAACCCACAGCTCATTTGTGCTAAACTAACCGTCTTTCCACTTCCCGCCTTTGTCCAGCCTGGGTCCCTGACCTCCCCCGCCCAGAACCTTTTCCTGTCCCAAAGCAGCTGTTTCCTGCCCCTTATAGCAGTTGCAAGGGGTGGACCAGCTGGTCATCACACAGGACATCCAGTGCCTCTCAGGACTTGTTTTTAGGAAACTGCCAGAGAGAAGCTTGGCCATGGAAAAGGCCTGGGTGTGGGGTTGGAAGTCTGGGCCTTTGCACACACTGCTCCAAGTGGGACTGAGCTGGGATCAGCCCCCTCCTCCAGGGACATCTGAGGTGCTGGGAACTCGAAGAATAGCTGTGGGCCATTCCTAAGACCCAAACCCCCTCCGCAGCTGGACCCAGAGGCTGGGTGGGGAAATGGGTGGATTCTCCAAGAATGGTAAAGAATGATAAAAACCCTCTTTCCATTTTCAATGGACCAGCTTCAATTCTAGGCGATCTGTAGGGATTAACTAAAAAATCCTAGCTAAGCCCTCTAAGATAGGTTTTCTTACTGTCTTTCTCCTTTATACAGAGGAAGAATCACAGATTAAGTGATGCTCCCAAGGTCACATTCAGGCAGAGGCAGATTTAAACCTAGGCGGCTTTGCCACTGTTTCTGCATTGGCCATTCCACTTGATGGTCTTCTAGAAACAGCCCGTCCCTCCCCAACGACCCTCATGCCTGTCCCCGCGTGTGTCCCCGATGGCAGGGAGTAGGTTCACCCCCCGCCACCACCACCACCCCCGTGGCTCCAGGGGCTGCAGCCTCACCGGAGTTGGGGAGCTGGGGCGTGCAGCTGCCCTCCTCTCCTCTGCTCCCGCCTGAGCTGTCAGCTAGATTCGGGTCTTCTGCCTGAGGCCCCCTCATTAGACCGTCAGAGCTGATGCCAGACGCCCCCACTCCAGCCCCAGGGACTATTTCTGGACTCGGTGCTGGGATCACCAAATACCGCAGGCAGTGCAGCTCCTGGTCCTGGGGAGGGGACTCTCCCCCCAGCCCCTCCCCCCGCTTGAGGCCGTGTGGTGGCACCCCCAAAAGTTGGACCGAAACTTGCACACCCCCGAGGTAGGGGTGTTGGATGATGATGGTGTTGGGGGGTAGGTACTCAGGTCAGCACCGACCACTCCCTCGCCGCCCCCCTCTAACCCCCCCAGACGGCCTCGCAGGGACAGAGCCGTTTCCTAGAGGAAACGCTGCCGGGCGGTTCCATCCGCTACCCATTGTCTGCCGGCGGGGGCCGTCCGTCCCTCCCCAACACCGTTTCCGTCACACACCCCGCACACCCAGGTCCAGCGCGAGGGGCTCGACCCGGTCCCCAAGCTGTCCGGGGAAACGCGGGGAAAGGCTGGGGGGTCGGCTGGGGAGCTAGGGGGCGAACAAGCCCCCACTTGGCTCCTGAAGGGCGGGAGGAGGGCGATCTCACGAATCCGGAGCTTCCCATTCTGCGCGCTGCCCACTGGGGGCTCTCAGGGTGGGAGGGGTCGCAGCCGGAGGACACGGCGCCCGCCCCGTCGCAGCGCGCGGCCCGCGGAGGGGCTGCAGGCGCAGCGCCACTTCCCGGGGCGCCCCCTTATCCCGCCCCAGATCCGCTTCGGTGGCCCGCAAGCCGGCGATTTACCTGATGCCGCAGCCACATCCGCGCCCGCACCCGAGCCCGCCCCCTCGAAGCTCGAGAACAGGTTATCAACGCCTTGACGCTAATTGACGGTCGCTCCAGCCAACCAACGCCCGACACCCTCTGAACTGTCCAATAGTGAGGTGGAGTGGGCGGTGCCGAGAAGGTGGGAGAGCCTGGGGGCGGGGCCTGGAATGACTGTCCCGGAGGGACAGCAGGACGGAACCCTGTGGCCAAGTGCTGCCCAGCGAAGGGCTAAGGACCTTGGGTTTGATCCACTGGACATGGGGGAGCCATGGAAGGCTCTGGGCAGGAGATTCACTGGGGGGATTTGTGTGTTTGGAACATCCGTTGGGTGAAAGCTGGAAGGACTGATGCTCAGATCCCAGTGGGTGAGGTACCGGACCCTGGATCTTTCCCACCACAGGGTCTTTGCACATGCTGTTCCACCTTCCTGAACTGTCTTCGCTGCACATATCTGTCCCACTAATGTCAGCACCATAAGGACAGGGAATTGATTTATTTTGGCCACTCCTTTATCCAATGCCCCTGGCAATAAATGTTTGTTGAACATTTAAAATTACATTTAACATTTTAATCCATTTGGAATATATTATTACCTAAAGCGACTGTACACATTGGTTTTTCTCCCTGATTATTTTAGTATTTTTGAGCACCTACTGTGTACCTGGCACTGTGTATGTCCCTAAGGTGTCACAATCCCTGTCATCCTGCACCTCAAAGCTGAGGTTTATGGTAAGGGGGTGATGAGTGGGAGCTGGGGTCTGTGGGAGGAGAAAATAGGGGCAAAACCCTGACCTGGAGGGTCCTGTGAGGCAGCCTGGAGGTGTGCCATTTAATGAAGGGTGCTCCAAATAGGAGAAAGTGCACGTGCAAAGGAAGGGAGAAGGATGCTCCCTATATCAGGACTCGGACTAGGTCAGTGTGTTGGTAGGAGGGTAACTGAAGGGACCGGCAGAAAAGCACATCTGAAGCTTTCAGACTTTATCTGATGAGTGGATCCCTGGAGGCGAGTTATTTATTCCAGATTCCTCTAAGATGTTGCCCCAGTGCTACTCCACTTCAACTACTGTAGCTTTAGAACGTATTTCAATATCAGGCATTCTTCCTTTTAGAAAATTCCTGGGCTATTTCCACTGTCTTTTTTTCATGCACATAAACTGTTTGTAGAATTCTGTCAAATTTTCCCATGAACACTTCATTGGAATTTAAAGAATATTTTTATTGTAAAATAAAATGCACACACATAGAAGCAAACTCAATAAGCGACATAAGCCCTGGCCTGTGTGGCTCAGTTGGTTGGGCATCATCTAGTGCACTCAGATGTTCCCTGTTTGATTCCAGGGTTCCAGGTAGGGCACATGCCCGGGTTGCAAGTTCAATCCTGGATTCCTGGTAAGAGGTGTGCAGGAGTCAGTCAATACCTCACTTTCACATTAATGCTTCTCTCTCTCTCCCTCTCCTTTCCTCTCTCTCTAAAAAATCAATAAAGAACCTTTGAAAAAATAAAGAAACCACATAAAATAAATGTATAGCTTAAGGAATACTGAAGGGAGGTTCTCAACCAAGGTGATTTTTAAAATATATATTTTTATTGATTTCAGAGAGGAAGGGAGAGGGAGAGAGATGGAAACATCAATGATGAGAGAGAATCATTGAACTGCTGCCCCCTGCAGGCCCCTTATTAGGGATTGAGCCTACATCCCAAGATGCTGGGGTGTTGCTCAGCATCTAGAAGAGTTCAGGAATCTGGAGAAGGTCTGCAAGTATATTAATAAAGAGACTGGACATGAAATATAAAACCCTGACCTGGAGGGTCCTGTGAGGCAGCCTGGAGGCATTTTGGAAGGCATTTTGGGGAGCCAGAGGAGACCTAGCTTCAGTAACCAAGTTCTCTGAATCTCTGGACCCCTAGCTTTTTTATTAACACAAATTGCCCTAAAGCAAAGCAGATATACATGTCAAAGGGGAAGTTTGGTATACAGTAGGCATTGTCAGGGTGGGGGAACTGCCCTCAGCTGTCTGGCAGCAGGCAACAATATATGCAAATCTTTAGGTTTGGGGAAATGCTTTCAGCTATTCCAGCAGGCAATAACATGATTCAGCCTGCTGAATATAGAAGCCCATCAACCTTTTGAGGACTTCTTGCTTTTTATTATGCCCTGCTGGAATTAGCTTCCAGCACCAGGCATTGAACCATGACCTCCTGGCTCGTAGATTGACACTCAACCACTGAGCCATACCAGCAGGGCCCAGGGTGATTTTATTTTATTTTTATTTGGGGGGGGCTCATCCGGGATATGAACCCAGGGTGATTTTAATTGTCATAAGTGAGAAGAGGAAAGGATCTAGTGGGTCGAAGCCAGGGATGCTGCTGAACACCCTACCGTGCACAGAGTAGCCCCCACAACAAAGGATTATATAGCCTGAATGTCAATAGTGTTGAGTTTGAGAACCCCAGCTGGGAAGTGAACATAATTATAACCCCCATCCAGGTCAACATGTCTCCAGCTACCTCAGAAGGCCCTCCATTCACCACATTCCCATCACAGCTGCCTTCTTACTTTGCAAAGTAACCACTGTTGTGACTTTTATAGTAATCACTGCCTTCCACTCCTGAATAGTTTATCACCTGAATATGAATCTCCAGACACTGTAGTTTTAGTCTTGCCTGTTTGGAGACTATGAAACCTCCGTTCTTACCTTCTTGAAGGAAAGATTTCAATCACAAGACAAAGTGTAGCAAAGTAAGAATTTATTGGCCGCAGCAAAAATATACTTAGGACAGTGAAACAAGGAAGGGCACAGAGGAAGCAATAAGAGAGCCTAGGCTGGGCTGCTTTGCCTCGCTGAGAAGTCAGAGAAAAGAGGGGCTTGGAGACAGGGTCAGGGGTTAGCCCAGGACAAGCTGCCACTTGCAACCATTGCTCCCCTGGTTGCAAGTCTTGCGGGGACCCTTAGGGGAAGATGGGAGAAGGGAATGGCAGCGGCATGCTCCAGTGGGCGAGAGTTTGAGATGGGTGCTTCATGCTGAGCATATTTATCTCTCTCCTACAGGGAGAAATCTTAGGTCTCATGGGAGGGTCTCAATAGAATATTTATCAGTTTTCTAGGTGTGCTCTTTCAGGTTCATGCTCTCCACTGATTGGTCAATGCCAGGGCAGGGGTCATTAGTCAATGTAGCTGGTCCTGAGGCAGCTACAGCATCACTTGTCTGGTTTTGCTGCTTTTCTGGGCCTGGAGCTAAAATACAGCTGAGGCCCAGATGTTATCTTTAGGGAGGCAAGGTTAGGGCAGGGGTGGGCAAACTTTTTGACTCGAGGGCCACAATGGGTTCTTAAACTGGACCGGAGGGCCGGAACAAAAGCATGGATGGAGTGTTTGTGTGAACTAATATAAATTCAAAGTAAACATCATTACATAAAAGGGTACGGTCTTTCTTTTTTATTTCAA